AGTATTCCAGCGCCTTTGACCCAATTACTAAAATGAACGAGAAAACACTTTTCATACAGTTTTGAAAAACACGACAACAGAGCGATAGGACGAGTTTCTTCAACCGGCACAGTATTAATTTTTGTTTTTGACAATAAAATGATTTTGGCAGTGTGCCAGTGTACGGATACGCGATGCAAAGAAGTTAAAATACGTTAAAAGAATAAGAAGATGACCAGCTGAAATGAGTTTAATGATGCGGTTCGAAATCCTGTCTACACCCGAAGAATTTTTCTTTTTTAGGGACGAAATTGCGTTTTTTATATCTTTTTGCGAAATTTTAAATGGTGTTGGAACAGAATTTTGTATTTTTTGAAGGATTTCATTATCTATCTGGTCGGCTTCTAATTCTCTAGGGACAGAAGGAAAAGAACAAGGATGTTCAGAGAACTGCTGTTCCTAAAAGTTTTTAGCATGATCACACATTTCGAGCGGAGAGGAAATTACCTGTCCATTAGGCAGAAAATCTTGAATAGGAGGGAACACGTGCTCCAAAATGACATTTCATTTTACGCCAAAATATAGATACATCGTAGTCATTTAAGGATTTACAATACGTTTTCCACGAGTTTCTCTTATAAGCAAACAGTTCTCTCCGTATCATACCGTTATAAGTTTGTAGGGTGTTTATAAAATAAGGATGTTTGGTTTTGCGAGAAAGTTGAAGACAGTGTCTTCTTTGTTTTATGAGATGTACGGAGGGAGTGATGGCCTATAGGAGTTTTGGAATTTGACAACGGTTACACGCGCATATGATAACAACAAAAAACGTTCGTATAAACAGAAAAATTCAATTTTATCTGACATTTTTATACAGAGATCATTTCAAAACACAGAGGTGAATACAACAAATAACTCGTATATACTCCAGTAGGTACGTTTTATTGGTGCAACTCGATCTTTATTTGACAATTTAAGAGCAGGAGATCAGAGAACGGGATAGTGGTCACCGCCGATAGAAGGACGTACAGAAAATTTTGAAGATAACATTGAGCTAGTCCCAATAATAAGATCAATAGTTGCAGCAGAACAAGTAGAAGTGGTTACAAATTTGTTTACAATTTCTAAAGACGCGTGGGAAGAGAGCCAGCTGCTTAGGACACTTCCCTTGTAGTTGTTTACAGATTTCGACCAAGAAAGATGTTTAGCATTTAAATCACCACAAAGATAGTTTTAGAATTGCGATTGAGAAAGTGGATGCAATGGATTTATTCAGGCGTTTTGTGCAGGTGTGGATACTAGATTTCGTACTTTGGCTTCGGTATTTTTCCTCTGACGTTGCTCGATTTTTTCACCACATTGAGGGTTGCCGACCATGTGTGGTCCTTTGCATTGCGGGCAACACACTGGATTTTGACACTCGGGATCATAATAGTGATTTTGATCGCATTTAAAACATATTGGATGATCCTTATTTGGACGATTTGAAGCTGTGTGAAGCCGTATTGTTGACACGCGTAACAACGAAGGACACGCATTGGAGGAATACACGGTTCGATGCGGTACGAGGTGTTTTCAGTGTCTAATAGAATAGTTTTGCCTTTCAAAATTTTCGATAGGTGTTCATTTGACGAAAATCGAATCTGACTTTGGAAATAGGTTTACCTCCTCTTACGAACAGTCTTTTGGCTTTGACAATGGTTGAGTAATGCCGCTTTAATTCCTCCCCAAAACCTTGTGCGTTCCACCGTGGAAGAACGTCAAGTACGACGATTGAATATGCAATGGGTGTTTTCTTAGGGATGTCCAACTGGAATTCCTGATCTCTAATTTTCTTTGGCCATTTGTCCTGATCGAGAAGAAGATCGAATTGTGTTGCTGTGTTGGCGAATAGTAAGTTGTTTTGAGTTGTTTATTGAGGTCTTTTATTATGGATAGTTCTTCCGGTCTATGTTGCTGGTCCTTGAAGGTAATACGAAATGCAGGAAATGATTGACGTTTTTGATCACTTGCCGGTTGTTTAAATGTGTTAGCTGACGACCGAAACTGTCGATCTGAGCTAAAGTACAGTGACGTTTGATTATTGTTTATTTTTCGTAGTAGTTGAGGATACTGCTGGTCGTTTCGAGAACGTTTAGTCGGTCTAGCTGCTACACCGACTAAACGGCCTATATTACAGGCTGACTAAAACAGCTTTACGACTGTATACATTTAAGTGATACACTAACAATTATTGGAGAAAAATAATTTTGTCCCTTTTAGTGGTTCTCCATAAACGATACCGATTTTAACAAATTTAAATTGTATATAACAAAAAGTCATATATTAAACCTTATTGAGGATGAAATAATATTGGACGTTTATCTAATGTTATGGGTTTAAAATAATTAAATTCTTTTGTATATCTATCATAACAAATATTACAAATAAACAACGACGTTGATTAAGTGTTTTTGGTTTATTCGTACAATAGAATGATGAATGATGAATACGTTTCGTTATTATTATATAATCTATTTTTAATTGTAATCGGCTGTCCATCGATACTTGTATCATTATTAGGCTGTTTCTATTGTACTCGTTGTATCTCTTTTTTTGACAGAATATTTATCGTAGGTTATAATATCAGCTTTTGTCAGTGAACATCGGTTAAAGATGTATTTGAAAAGTATAAAATAGCATCAAAGTAATCAACTAAATTTCTTTTCTACATCCTAAATCTTAATACATTTTGGAGTTCTCCTGCATTCGTGGCAAAAATACCATACGATACAAATACACTAATCACATTTTCAGATATCTAAGGTACCCTAGATAGCTTAGATACATGGCAAAAAAGCTTACAGAAAAATGATTCGCAGCAAACGCAAATTATGCACGGCCTCGGAAGGAATATGGTAGTAATTGCCGGTAAAAAGGGCTTCTTTGTCATCAGTACTCTCCTGCGATAGGCAAAAGATTCTGGAACGAAGTTTATCTTTTTTCTGTAATTCAAGCTGTACAGCTGCTATACATTTCGTCCACATATGTACTATATTTGTCTTCACTGAAAATCTCAGTCAGATATTAGATATGCCTCGTATGAAGGTTAAATCAGTCTCTCCCTGTTTAGAGTCTTGTAGCGCGGAAAAAACTGCATAGGACAGACACAAAACTGATCTCTACTTTGTGTTCCACGAAGAAAAGAATAAATTTTTTAGTGAACCGGTCTTCAGTCCACTGAAGTAGTCTTTTATTCCTAAGTTATTCAAAAAACAACCGAGTATACTGTATTTTGCAACGGATAGTACTTAGGATATTCAAAAAGTTCTGTAACTTTCAAATTTCTACTCATAAAAAAGACATTTCATTTATTTGTTTGTAGCAAATGTTCGAGGTGATGTTATATACGAAGTTTCAACCTTTCTATCTACTTTTGAGATGTCCTTTCGTATTCAACAACAGGTGCCGAATTGAGTACCTTGGTTATTGCATCAGTTACAATCGTTATGTGCCTCCTAAAAGATTTGGAGAAGTTTGACAGCACTGTATGTCATTTCTGTGATATCATAATGGGAAATGAGGCACGTTACCGTCACAAAACTGGATTAGAACAATAATGAAATTTATAGCTAGCAGCAGAACAAAGACCCTCAATGGCTTTAGGAGACATTGGTGGCAGAACAACAATGTTTGTCATCCTTATTGTCACAGCTGGACCCTTACTTATGATCAAGTGCTCTCTGGAGTATATATTAATACTATCTGTTATTGAAATGAATGTTTAAAACTGTAATTTAATAAATTATTAAGGAAAAATCATAATTACAGGTCAAGTTGTATCAAATCCTATCATGACAACGCGAATTACGTGTGAAAGGCGTGACCGTTACGGTGCCTTATAGATCAAGATTTCGTTCGATTACTCTGAAACTTTTTTCTAGTGCGACTTACGATACTACATCTTAACGGTGAAACGTACAGAGCGATCGGACGAGACCTCGATCTGAGGCGCCGTAACAGATGGAAACTTTCGCTTGGTCAGGTCGTTTAGTTACTTTGGCGATAGCATAGGTGTATATTCAGATATACCAATTCAACTAAAGGTAATAACCAAGCCACTTAGTTCGCTACCTGGTGTTGAATACGAAAGGACATCTCAAAAGTAGATCGATACCAGCGGTCATGATTTATGTGACACCATGGAAACTCATAGTGATTTGGAAATTATTCATATTCGCTTTGTCGTCTTGAAAGATTGTATTTGTATTTATTTTGATGTTACGCTTCAAGTCATTGTCAACCATAATTAAATAAATATATCGATTAAATAGCAATCGTGCAATGCGCTATGTCTAACGGATTTCTAGAAAACCTTAAACAAAAGATTTTAAAATTGATTAGATATTAACATAAGCGTATCTGAAAACTTATAAAAACTTATCTTCAAATGTAGTTGGTTTTCCAAAATTCTGAAGGATTTCTGGACAACACTTACGAAAGCCTCTAAAGAGTTTTTGACTTCAGTAGAAGAAACAGTACATTTTCAAATCTATTCTAACTCACTTTGAGTGTTTTGCGATCGATCGAAGGTTAAAAGGACGTAGTATTTTGAAGAGTTTTGTAGCGCGGAAAAAACTGCATAGAACAGACACAAAACTGGTCTCGATTTTCTGTTCCACAAAGAAAAGAATAACTTGAATAAACTTTGTAAAGAAAGGTCGTGTAGAGCTGGGAGACGTCTCATTTTAATCAAAAATGTGCGGGCTACAATTATGCCTCATTATGAAAGATTTTGATTATTTTTTAGAATTTCTCAAAAACTGGTTTGCAGAAAACCGAGACTTCAAGACCCATGGGCAAAAATCCTTTTAGGCTTTTTACCAGCTCCATATGCTGTATAAAATGAGGTATAAATGAAGGAAATCAGAATTGGGCACCTGGGGCGGTTCCCTCGTAAGAATTCACTCGGATATACGCGGAACTCCTGGTGGAGTCAAGATCCTGCTGGTTGTCGTTGCATCTCCTATAGATTACGATGTATGGATTCTTACGGTGGATGTGCTGATGCAGAGGATCCAAAAAGTGAACAATGGTTTTACTCAAGTGGCAGTCAAGAGGACTGCGATGATATCAAAAAATTGGTCACAGAAGAAGTTCAGAATTATGACATACAATTCAAGTGCTGTGCCAAAAATGAATGTAATAAACCAACAAATATAGAATGTGAACAATCATCCAAAAGTAAACGAAAGTTGACAAAAAAGTATTATGAACTTGACAATGTGAAAAAATAGATATATTCTTTGGTTGTCGATTTGATGTGGAACAAACCGTTAAATTTTGTCGCTTAAACTTGCTGCTGTTTTTACCTGTTTGATGAACATAAGCTTTTCTATTTAAACTATGCAGCAAAAGCATTTACATCACAATTAAAATAAATAACGTGAATCACATGGATTCACTAAGTCCCTTGACTGTAAGTCGAATGAATATACTGTTGGGAATATTATTCAATTTATTGTGACTCGATGTTGTTACTACAGAATTGAGGAATTGAGCCAGCAGTGGCAGAGTTCCTACAATTCCAGAATTCTACTCCTGTACAGCAGAATTGAACAATGATGTCTACTTGCTTCTAAGCATTCAATTTTATTACGATCTAAGTACAATTTTATTCCAATTCTGCTGTGAAAATATTCAATTCTGCTTAACTTGATTAGTCTACTTACTTTTCCAAAGATGAGACAGAATTAAATATTTAGAAACACGCATACTGATCAAGTTGAGCAGAATTGAATTTGAAATAGAATTGAACTTAGCTCCAACAGAATTGAAGAATGATGTGATAGAATTGAATGTGGAAAAGCAAGGAAGAAGGGCGAGGGGAGGCGCAGCATGAGAGTGAGTAGGAAATAAAACATTTCGGATCGCAACCGAATGTTTTTTATAAACCATGCGAGGTCAAAACCTCCAATTCTATCACATCATTCTTCAATTCTGCTGGAGCTAAGTTCAATTCTATTTCAATTCTGCTGACAAGGATTCAATTCTGCTTAACTTGATCGGTATGCGTGTTTCTAAATATTCAATTCTGCCTCATCTTTGGAAAGGTAAGTAGACTAATCAAGTTAAGCAGAATTGAATATTTTCACAGCAGAATTCGAATAGAATTCTGCTTGGATCGCAATAGAATTGAATGTTTAGAAGCAAGTAGACATCATTGTTCAATTCTGCTGGATCCATATTCAATTCTGTATAAGAGTAGAATTCTAGAATTGTAGGAACTCTGTCATCCCTCAATTGAGCGGTATTTTTTACGATGAGAGCGTACCAGAATTTCTGTAAAAACACTATTCTAACAGCAGCTATTAATGCTATCTCTAAAAGAGTAGTTAGCCCACAGTCTTGCAAAATGATTGCATGTTTGTGTGTATGTGTCTAGAATACGGAAAAACGGCTGTCAGATATGGTATGGATAAGCCAGTCATAAGGAAGACCTTTTAACCTTTTAAACCTTTTAAGCATGAGAGACAAAAAATGGTCGCGCTCCTCCGCACTCGCTCGGTCCATAGACTTTAGGAACTTCTGTCTGCGAATGACCCTCCATCACTTTGAATATAAAACAACGAAGGGTGGTGTATACGTTGAATATAAAACAACGTATACACCACCCTTCGGTCGGTATTCACTAAGGACTATCAACAACATGTTATAAGTATTTCTCTGATTTGATGTGTAAGCTTTGTGATGTAGTAAAAACCTATAAAAGTTTTGTCGGGACCCCCAAAGGATTCCAGAGATCTAAAAATATTGCTGAATTGGAGACATTGCTCACGCGTCCCTTCAGTTCGCGTGCGCAGCCAGGATAGGCGTAAACACACTTCTCTAATTCCACAGAACACGCGCACGGATGTATCCATATAGGTGTATGTCCGTCACAATCATTAGTAAGGACAAACCCCTACACACATAAACACTTTATTTTGTATGACCATAGACTTACAGTCAATGAAATAAATATAAAAAATTGAAAAATAATTCCTTGGTAGGCATATATCAAATAGGAAATGATTTGCCAGCATCTGTTTTGTCTAAGAGATTCTACTAGCGAACTTGAACTACTGCCTTGCGATTCTGTGTAAGGAGTTTGAACACGTCAGTATATGTTAATGATGTTTAAAATAACATAATTTGAAAACCATATAAGTTTTTTAACAAACAAAACAAAACATAAGTTATAATGATTAATTCTAATATACCGAGAAGCTAGTGTAGAGGAAATGTCATCAGGTATCTTAATTTCTTCTGTTTACCAAGACGTGATTTATTTATATTTTTTTAGATAATATATAATAATATGCAGTTAATACAAAAGTTGTTAACCGCCGGTTTCGGCAACATGGGTAAAATCGCATATCTCTCAAAAACTACAAATTTTACACAGATTTTGTTATGCTAGAGATTAATATTATTTTTACAATTTAGCGCTGATTAAAGATGATTGTCTTGTTGACCATGCTAGTTTTAATAACGAATGTGATATGTCATAAAACTGACCATCGCAATCGATTCTTACATTTGATGTTGTGATATTGTCATCTACATGTATATTACCTACAGATGTTGCCACTAACTTTTGTTTCCCTGCTACTACATTCGGTTGTAATCCTATCGGTGTCAATTTAAACATTGATTTTAATTGCTTTAATGAAAGGGAGTAGTGTTCTAATGAATAACCTGTACAATGGAGTTGATGTTTTATGGACATCATTTCATTTAATTTATTATTAACATATTCTCCAATCGCCAATGATGATGTTAAGCCAGTTGAACGTATTCCACCGCAACATATCCATTGTAAATCGTTATACGAATGTATTTGATAATCTGAATATTCTGTTGCCGGTCGTATTCCTGTATAAGATCCAATATATTTATATTCTGATTGTGAAAATGTTGGTATTAATTCAGTCGCTTTATCATGTAACATTTTAGTGATATCTAATTTAATCGGTGCTTTACACCGATCGAGCTGTTCCTCTGCTGTTGGTCCAATAATAATCTGATTAAATAAATTTGGGTAGATAATTATACCTTTAGAAAATTTTGTTGGAAGTGGTAATAGAATGGATTTTATGGGCGGTGATAATGTTTTAGATGAATAAACAGAAAATTGTCCTATACGTGGACGAATAGTAAAAGTAGATGTCGGAGGGAACTGCTGATTGATACGAATTTGTTCAACAAAGTCACCAAATAATCCAGCACAATTAATCACCACTCTACTTTTAAACTGTCCATCATTTAATATCCAATGATTATGTTTTCTATCGTATGTACCATTCGTAACTTCGATATTCATCTGTGCATGTCCACCCAATATTTTACTATGCATATATAAGATTAATGGTATTGTAAGAGGATCAACTATAGATTCACCTGGAATATAGAGAGCACCCAACGCACCTGCATGTATGAGTGGCTCACGTTCATATAATGCATCTGATGATATTTCTTCTATATCTATCACATTATTCTAAATGAGAAAAGCTATAATGAATAATATTCATCCTAAAACGAAGTTGAATGCTTGGTTTTTATTGAGTTCAACCCTTTCCTACAGATACGCTTCTGTAATTGGTTCAGTCCCATGTTAAATGCAATTCTACAGTTAGTCCCCAGCCTATTGAGTCTTACAGAATCTAGTAACTATGCGAAGTAAAGGCGACATACGTGTTTAGAACATAAAATCTCTGTTCATTCTCATGGAATCGATAATCCGATTCTTTTCATGAAACAATTTTTCTACTTAATATTATCTGCTTGTTAACCTAGATATATGAACGCCTCAGATTATAAACAAATGAAGCGGCAAACTTTGTGATACTCACATTCATACTTTATTAAATGAACAAGCAAAACAAACAAGAGTATTCAGAAACATAACTTATCTATTCGGTAAATAATTCAATAGTAGAAATAAACTATATCTGTCAACACTAGGAAGCTCATGCACAGCTTAGCATAGCATTATCTATACTATGTGCAAGTTAGTCAGTTCTTCGTTCAATGCGCAAAACGAAATGAGCATTTTTTTCAACACGGTATAGAAATTTTTCCTTAAGGTGGATCCCTCCCCCCCCCCACTCGGTTTTTCTTGTCAGTTTGTAGAGTTTGTAAAGGACACTTTGAAGTATACATTTCAAAACTTTTCTTGGGTACCGGACCTGAAGTTTTGGAGAAAATAAATTTTTAAGTTTAGTCTCGGTTTTTTGCTCCCTTTCTAAAATATTAATAAAATTTTCAGATTTCTGCCTATAACCTCAGTTTGTATGTCAATCAATAGAGGACATCACGATGTATCTACGAAAAATTCGGTCAAGTTATTGAACTTCGATCTGAGTTATTCTGCTTTGACCTACCTGACGGCATTCTGGAGCAAGAAGTTTTTTTACATAATATCTTAAAGCAAATTTTGCTCGAAGGACGTATTTTCAAGGAAAAGTGTGGGTACGAAAGTTGTTCAGAAAAAAATTCTCTAAAATATGAACGAAGAATTTTTCAGAATTCGTTAAATTCGCTTTTCAAATTGTAAAATTTAGTAAACTTTAATTTAAAAGTCCAGTTTAAAGAATTTTGAAAAACCCTTCGTTCATATTTCACGGAATCTCATTCCGAACAACTTTCGTACCCACACTTTTCATTGAAAATGCTTCCTTCGAGCGAAATGTGGTTCAAGGTGTTTCGCTTAGCTAAAAATTAGCGAAACTTTTTAGTGTTGAATTTTTTGTTAAATTTTCCCAGTTTGTAGAGGACCCTTCGAAGAATATGTTCTGAAGTTTTTTCGGTTTACTGACATTGTTTAGCTGAGAAAAAAATTAATTACTTAAAAAAATGTTGTTAAATTTTTGAACACGGGGCTGTCATAAAAAAATTCTAATGAATGAATCGAATTCTAAAACTTTGAAGCTACCCAGTCTTGTAGCCGGTGAAATTTTCTGTCAGATGAGGTATAGTTTAAATTCGTTTGTTGAGTCCTTATTTTGCAAATGGGACTGCAAGCTAGTAGAGTAGGCTAAATTAACATAAATTAGTGCTAATTAGTCAATAATAGGAAGGAAAGAGCAAAAATGTTTACATATTTTCTCGTATTAAATATTTTCCACACATTTCTCTATCGATCTAGGTAAAAACCAAGTTTTTATGATGAATGGAGAATGGATAGAAAATTTTTATAATAATAGCCCCTTCCTCAAAAACTTAACAACATTATTTTCAGTAATTAATTTTTTGCTTATCCAATCAATGTTAGTAAGCCGAAAAAACTCCAGAACATATACTTCGAAGTATCTCTGCAAACTATGAACGTCCGAGGAAAATTTAAATGAGAGGAGCCCCCCTTAATTCACAATCTCCTTTTCTGACAGCGAATGACTAATCTTTCTTTCATTGAACGGCTAATGTTGAAAAACAGAAGCATGGAGTTATCACGTCTAAAAAATTCTATTGAATTTTTATTCATCATGTATGTTTGAGAACAGGCAGAAGGTCAAGGTACTAATTGTGAAAACTCTTCCAAACGTTTTGACAAGTTTACGTAGAACTGACATTTAATTTCCGCATCTTTTCTGCTTGGTAAAACCCACAAAATTTGTAATTACTGACTATTTCGAATACCAAAGAATGGAACTTATGAACTCACTTCGTAATTCGTCAATATTCTAACACAATTTTAACTATCAAAGCGTTTGAATTCAGTTTTGACGAAGCATTTTAGTAGATCTCAAAAACGCATTTATCTAAAATTCGGGTATATCAGCAAAGTTTTATGAAAAAAATTTTGGTATTGGGTTTGCAATATTTCTAGAGAAATGTTTAGGTAGAACATCAAAAACTGGCCTGTGTTCGAGGTTCTGATCGGTAGCTTCACATTGATCGATGATATAAAATCAAAGAAAACTGCGTCATTGGACTTTGACGCGGTTAACATTTCTTGACATTTTTGTGAAAATCCCACTTACTGCTGTTTGACAGAGAGGCCTTACATTCGACAGACTTGCTAATTTATAGATTTTGCGTAAACCCCCCTCCATAATAGAAGACCATCCGCTATTAGAAGACCACTGCCGATTATATGACTTGAAAGCCAAATAGAAGACCATGGCCTTGTAACTCCTAGAAGACCAGTGGTGTTCTATTATGTCCGCGAAAAAAATCCGAAATGCCCTATAGCGGAATTTTCAAAAAAATTTCGCCAAAACATGCTTCGAGTAGGGAACGGACCTCAAATACGTGAGGTTACCGTTGGACTACTAGCAGGCGACAAAACTTGATCGCAATAGAAGACCACCCTTTAGAACTCGACTTGCGGGACAAAATAGAAGACCAGGTGGTCTTCTATTATGGGGGGGTGGGGGGTTATATGTAATAACGAAGTGTATATACTATTTTTTTGATCATATTGCACACCTTTATTTCAGTTATTTGATTGAACAATCGTCTCATTTACGCAGAATTTTAATCCGGTAAGTTTCAGTGAAATGAGACTTAAGAAATGAGGTAATACTAAAAAATAAAATGAAAGTAATAAAAGAAGAAATCTCCTACTTTATGTGCATTATCAATAATTTCCTTGAATATTTCCAGTTCATTCTGTTTCCATGCAATAATATATGCACCAATCTTTTTAATTGGCAATTTAATATCTTCAGCAAATAATTGGTATAATTCATAACCACGTCGTACTAATTTTGATTCCAACGTTTGTGGCACTGTATCGAATCCCGTATGTAATATTCCACTATTACCTGAACTAGCTCCAGTTATTATCTGTGATGATTTATCTAATAGTAAAACATTTTTATAGCCATTTAATGTTAACCTATGAAAAACGCCTAATCCAACAATGCCTCCTCCGATTATTATTATATCGTATATGAAGGACATATCCACGTTTAAAGCGAAGCAGACATGTAATATAGACTAAAAAAAGTTAACATTTGTTACAAAATAAACATAAGTCAATAATGTTGAGATAAGAAGAATAGATGCATTCTTATTCCTGCGATTTTTTTTCTTATTGTTTGCTTTTCTGCCTTGTCCTTTGTTTGAACAAAAAAATGTTAGAAAATCCGTTATTCAAATACAACTATTAGATCTTAGAACAAAACTTTGAAGAAAATATCTTTACGATAGATGTTATAATTGAAAAATTCTTTGGGAATCCCATGAATGATGATACTTCTGTTGAAGAAAAACGAACTTGACAGTCGACTGAGAATCGTCAAACGATACTTGCAGATAGATGTTCTCCTGGTTGCTCTAAGATATGATATGTTGGCAATAAATAAACGAATTGGCCATATCCGGGCTCATACATGTGATCATATGGAGGAAATAGAGGCAGAATTGTCTGTCAAGATTGTCTTTCGAATTCGTTTGATTTAAACTCTGCAGTATATGCATTGAGTAACTTCAGGTTATGAACTGGGCCCAGATGACAAAAGAGCTACATTAATCGAAGAACTAACGAGGGAACCGCCTGAGGTGCTAAACATCCTCTTGAATGAGACTATTTTTAGAATGTAGGCCCACATGGGCTATGAAGAACTCCAACTTGGTTTGAGCGCAATCAGCTTTGTTGCTAACATACCGAATTTTCCCCGTGGGACCTGGTTTTCAAGCAAAATCGGAGTTTTGAATTTCATGTTAAAACTTATCACGTATTGTAGTTCAGACCATTTGTAGTCCTATGAAAAAAGGTCGAGCCAAAAACCTCGTTCCGCTGTGAGGAAAAAAATTTTTCAAAATTTGCTCCATGCTTTACCTTTGGTACCCATATGGCAAAAGTTCCTTCACCGCAGCGGAAAGAGGTTTTCAGCTCGGCCGTTTTCCATCGGACTACAAATGGTATGGGCTACAATATGTAATAAGTTTCAACATGAAATTCAAAACTCCGATTTTACTTGAAGACCTGGTCCCATGGCGAAATTTCGAGTAAAAATTAGATATCTCAGGAGGTTTCTTCATAAAACGTGTGGTAACAACGATTGATGAAGAAAACATCTTAAGAAGTTGTAAAAAATTTTTCAAACGTTTCTATCAAAGTTTAAAAATTAAGGTTACATGGGCTCATAAAATACTCTGTTCTGTAGAGAATTAAACAGTGAATCTTGTAAAAATTAACTTATTGGAATCTTCGTGGAAGAATAGAACTTGAAACGCGAATAACACCATTCTTTTGAAAGCGGTCCGTAACAGGACCTTCAATAAAAAAAACGATATTTTACAAAAATTTATTATTGAAGTAACGAAGTTACATAGTTTACTTTATTAGCGAGAAATGTAATCAACCCCAAATGATATTTGTAGCCGTAGAGTAGTGAATAAAAGTAAACTTTACTTTTATTCACTACTGTAGGACTACATTCTTAGGCTAAGAATACTTTCATCAATACATCTTTTTTTAGCGAATTTTTTTACAGTTATAACTGATAACAAAGGCGTTTCATTACTTAAAAGTACTGACCAGTGACGCAACTACGATGTGTGTGGGTGCCACGCTTCTTATGATTACCAATTCCAAAATGTAACGAACGAGATAGAATCAGAAGAAACATCAGCTTGAAGCCTAAAAACTAAAGAGGGAACCTATCCCGTTGTCCGACCGCTTTTCTAACGAAATGCGGTAGTTTATAGGTAATTGACCATGCTGATTCCGAATATGAAAGCAGTTTCTGCCCATAGGCCTTTCCTAATCGGTTTCTGGAACTGATTTTCCAGAAACCTCGAAAAATCCCCATGAGTCTTTCTAAATAAGTATGTAGCCCGCGAAATTCTGATTAAAATGAGACATCTCCCAGCTCTATATGACCTTTCTTTGCAAAGTTGTAGAATTCACAAGAAAAGCCCTAAATTCATCTTTCCTTCTTCTTTCTGTAGCTGAGGAGACAATAAACATTTAGGGCTTTTCTTATAAATCCTATAACTTTGCAAAAAAAGGTCGTGTAGAGCTGGGAGACGTCTCATTTTAATTAGATGATGAACCAGTAAACCAGTAGATCAGTAATGAGTGACGTTGTTTTGGTAGTACTGTATTCATGTACTAACCTACTATATTTGGCACTTTATCTCTTTTATTAATAAACTACCACTGGTTTGTATTCAAAAGTCCTTTTATCGTCGAAAATCCAAGTTTTTCAGCTGCAAGTGGAATCAGATTTGTCACCAAAGGGTATGATGCACGCCATTGCGTCCGTCTCATCGAGATCTATTAAATCGTGTAAAAACAATTTTTTACAGACCACAAGAAAGAGTACTTTTGAAACTTTATTATAGCTATTGCGCTAACTCTTTGGTGTCCTCTCAGTTCGTCCCAAATTGGCTTTGTAAGATCAAACAACATCAAAGGGGCGAGCAGGTGTGAGAGTGAGCAATTTGGAACGAACTGAGAGTAAACCAACTCTTTGTACCGATGATGAACCAGTAAACGGATCAGTAATGATTGAAGTTGTTTTGGTAGTACTGTATTAATGTACTAAACTATATTTTTGCGCTTTGTCTCTTTTGTTAAACTAGAACTGGTTTGTGTTCAAACTTCTCTTTATCGCTGAAAATCCAACTTTTTCAGTTGCAAGTGGAACCATATTCGTCAAAAAAGGATGTGATACACACCATTGCGCCTGTCTCATCTCTTGTTCTCCTCTCATAGAGTACAATGAAATGTACGATTCAGTTTCTTTACATTCGAAAATTTTTTTTCACTCATTTTTTTCTCCTAACGGTACAATGAAATTGCAAATCACTCATATGTTTTAATGGAATCGACCTAAATTTCTTTTTGCTACATTAAATCAGACAGATGGCCGAAGAAGTGATAATGGAGCCGAAGGCTGAGAAATACAACATTTTACACAGTGGAAAATCGCGTAAACATTGGATGAAAAATCGACAGTGTACCTTTTTAAAATTAAAATAGTGAGTAATATATTTCAAACTACGGTCGATTTAATGGCATAAAATTGTTAGTTCGGTTGCCATAGTTCATCCAAAAATCCATAGTGAAAATTTCGTCTGGCAACTTAGCTATTAGGAAACAAAAACCGTTTTTTGCTTAAATTAGACTGGGCACCGCTGAAAAACGCATACATATTCTGAAAATAGGCCTTCCAATCTATTTATTCATAAAAAATAGTTTTTGGTTGGCGCTTTGGTGTCGGAAGAAATAAGTTTTCTTTATACGTTAAGCGTTTTCTAGAAAGCTACGTTCAGTAGAGCGATTTTCCACAATTTTCTACAGCTTCAAATTTGATAAAATCTTAGCAGAGTGCTCTTCTACTCATCATGCATCTATATACATAGCGCCAAAGTTTCTGAACCGAGCTACAGATTTCTCAAAAACCTGGGTTTTTGACGTAAAATCTGTTTTTTCCCGTCAAGCAGCACTTTTATTTAAAAATAATGACACATTTGGAATAAGCGCAAAAAAGTCGCAATGAATGATATGTATTTGAAGTATTTCTGAACAAGAAATGTTTCGATCCAATATAGTGCGACGGTTTCCGCATATGGACACGACAGTTTTGACTTGGCACGTGGACATGTGCTAGAAAAGTGGTATGCTAGTCTCCAAGCACTCTTTTTGTAAGTTTTCGTATACTCTCCTTCTAGAGGGACGATTTTCAAATTTCAAAAGTGTGTTCGTACAGGTTTTCCATAAACTGTCTCCGTGTCTAGCCAAAATTGCCCACTGGGTATTGTGCGGATTAAATATTATTGAGCGAGTTCTAGTGGTTGTCGTTGGTCGAGTGCTTATATGTGACCACGTCAGAGGTAAAAAGAATAAAGAAAAATATCTATAAAAAAAAATTGATCCTGGGTGACATTGTTGCTCAAACTTTCGATCTTCAGTGGTTGCCGTATACAATATTTTTTTGTCTGCCACTTTCAGTTGAAGACAAAAGATAATTATAAACGGTCTTTATGGAATCTGTGGCACACACTTTCAAAAAAGATCAATTTACAAAAAAAGAGTGGATGGGTTTGTCTAAAAAATTGGTGCTGAACATGCTTATTTGTTTTCATTTAACAAAGTGCGACAGATCAATCATAAACAGGAATACAGTCGGGAGATGTTGCACATGTAGTACACGTACCTCCGTATTCGCTCGGTAACTGATCGGCATCAATGTGTTCGAGTAAGGTTGTTTCATATCCTTCATTTTTAAGAATAGATATTTTTGACGATGTGACGGGATCCAACCATGGTCGAACGAGATTATACATAATAGGAAATATACGAGGTGTGTTTAAAACAAACATTTTCCCCATTCGCTCTGGATAATAATTATTATCGATGTGTAAAAAGTGTTTTATTAAATGTATGACTTTTCTTGCACTCAAATCCATTCCTTTAAAATCCATAATAGTTGAAATTGTTTCTACGTATTTCGATACAAGTTTACTTCGGTCGCGTGCTCGCTGACAATTAAATTCTTGTATAAATATGTGACCATAAATAATTTCTTCTAATGTAAAGTCAGTTAATATAATGTCAACATTAATTTTACCCGTCTTTTCAATGTACAATGGAGAATTGTCTTTCGCGTAGCCATGATTAGAGAATGGAACGGCTCTTTGAGCTTTAGCCAATTTATCGGTTGGTTCAGATTCTAATAACATAGAGTCAGCACGATTATCTATTCGCCATTGAACTGTGTTTCTAATCGACGTTATGGTATCAGCAACATTCCATTTTCTCGCACGTAAATGACGATGTATTTCGTATTTCCATTCTTCTTCTTCATCTTTCAAATATTCTTCTTCGTGAAAGTTTGTTTTATAATCTTTTTGTAATTGTATTTTATACTGAATATACGATGTATAATCGGGTTTTAATTGATCGTGTACTAAATGAAATTGCTTTTGTTGTTCCAATGTCAGTTGTGTTATACCAAACGGCAATGAACTCATTTTTCTTTATCCTTATCTTGACACAAAAATAAAAAAACAAGCATGTACGTAGTACTACGACTGAATGAATATTTCCCTTATGCATTAAGAATATAAAAAATATAATAATGTCGACGAGTAAAGAAAAACATCTGATGGCAAAGAAGAGACAAAAGAAAAATGGTGATCATACCTCGGCAAAGAAAAAAATGACGACTGACGAAGAATAGAGAAGAAAAAAAATGAACTGTTCGTGTAAAATACTTAGTACATTGTTAATTGAGAAGTTGACGTTATAAAAAAAAAGATATGCATGGTAACATTTCGACACATGACAAATATGGGTCGAATGTTTTATGACATAGTTTCTAAATCAGGAAATGAATGAATGTTCCAGAAATAGTTCATCATATATGATCTAGCATTTGCCTTTGATACTAAACACGTTAATTGTATTTGAAAGAATGTATTATAAATTCAGACTATTGATTTATTTCAACTATGTGTAAATGTTGACGCAACCACCTAAATAAGAGCTGAAGCAATGTATACTCATTGCTAATTTTTCTATCTTTTTTTCTCGACTAAAGCTATCTACCACCCTAGTCAATCGTCAAAGCAAAATCTAGTATAATTGAGCGGTTTCTACTATAATCTACGATGCAAAAGCAAATATCGAGCAAATTGTTTCTCTGTTTTCAATAGACTGTAAAATTATGCATTTTTTATCTGAAATAAGATCATGGTTTGAGCTTCAGGAAACATAAGTTAGAAAAGAAAAATCTTCGTGTTAGGTCTGAGTGAAAAAATCTTTAAACGCCAGGCGTCATGAAAAAAACTCTTGTATCTCACTTTTTTTTTCTTCCATTTCTTACTACAATCTGAAGAAAAAAGCTTCTTTAAAAGCTCGATAGATGAGAATGTAGCCAGTGTACAATTCTGTCGAAAATCTTTCAGTCATTTCTCAATAGTAAGAAAAACGTATATCAAACTCAATTCTGATAAAAGACACTACTCTGCATTAGAAATATAAAATATCGAGAAAATCAAACAATGCCAGCAAAATCGAAGTAAGTTGTAGAGAATTCAGTGGTCTTTCAGAAAATGCGTTTTAGCAAAAAAATAAAGTTTGACAAGTATATGGAAATTATTAATTAAGTCTAATTAACTGTATGTATGAATGAAACTAATGGATAACTTTGACAATTTCTGACTAAAAAATGGATCCAAAGATAATTCATCATACTCCGTTTGAAAGAGCGATAAAAACAATCTAGTTTCTGTAACTCCAAAATTGCAACGTATTCTGTTATAGAAAAAATATACGTTTGATGAGAAATACTATCCGTTTCAAAATAGAAGGCACACTACCGTTTTTCGAATGACTTTTGATAGGAATGAGATACAGACCGGTGGATTTCAGTATTTGATAAAGGACACTTGAGGCTATAATCCTATGAAAAAATCCAACCTCCCGAAAAGGTTTACCACGGTATACCAAAAAAAATGTCCACATAGTAAAGCGCTGGTCTAAATACATGTGGATATACAACAGACGTCACTCTACAACCTACCGTAAATCCGAAATCTCTATCTGCCGTGTTCGGGCGCTAAAATAAAACCCTTCTAGCACCATCATTTCTCAACCAAAGTGCTTCATATTTCCAAGACTCACTCAGTTTCGCTTACTGTACAGTTCAGGAAAGTTAGAATTATGTTTTTATGCTGAAATTTCACCTGAAGATCTTTGGAGATTTTCGGAAAAACCTGTCGAAGATCCGCTTTGCCTTTTATAGTTCTGGTAGTAAGATCGGATAGAACAACTGCTCTTACACTCATTCTTCAACGAATGATTCTTCAAGAATTGGTGGAAGGACAAGGATAAACCTTTTTTACAAGCAAGGGAACGCATCAGTATTCAGTATCAAGATATCAAAATAATCGGAATCTACCCTCGATCCAGACTCACAGAAAAATATTCGATAAAAGTTTTTTTCCTTCTACTATCGCTAAATGGAACGGTCTACAACAAAACTTTAGCTATTTTTGTTAAGATACGCACATGAAAAGATAGCCTGAAGTGTCTACTTTCAGAATTTGCATGGCTTTTGGTTACAAAAGTGGTTTTTCGTGGATTTTATATTAAAAAGTCTTAGGAAATACTTTAGGATCCTTTTTGGACCTTGATCTCTAGAAAACCTGAAGACAAAAAAATTTCTTTATTCTCGTATCTCATTAAACCTAACATTTACGGAAAGTTTCGTCAAGATCGGATGTCCGGTGTCGGAGATAATTTCTGAGGAGGGTCCTTAACTCTTCCACTAGCACCCGGATATTCAAAGTCCATGTCCCATACTGGCAGGCAATCTTAAGCAAAATTTTCCAAAACGTACCTTGCAACATTGCATTTTACTGTAGAACGATCTACAAAAACAAATGTTTGACGGAGTATTATTTGGATCAAGACCATTGAAGAAATGTGCATTTGTAGTAGTCTATTTTTATTCAGTTTAAGAGCATTTTCGATTCTTCTTCAGTTAAATGAATAAAAAGTATATTCCATATATCAGAAGGTCTATTATTAAGAAGAATCAAAAATGTTCTTAAATTGAATAGTAATAGACTACTACAAACGCATATTTGTTCAATGGTCTCGATCCACCCCATTTATTGTTGTCGCCAAACCTTCTCTGCTAATAATGTAAAGTAATCTTCTTTATTTCCAACTCCAATTTTAAACTGTTGTCCGACATATCGTGCCAAGGTGAACTTGTCTATTAGTTTGACATTTTGCCTCTTAAAATAGTTGTACAATTGTTTAGTGATATAAATCGCGAACAGTTTTCTGGATTTGTCTTCAAAGTTGATTGTGAAACACGGTAGATTATGTGCTACTGCGCGCTTCATTTGTTTGAACGGCACTTTATATTATCTTTGTGGAAGTGGTTGATGTGATGATGCTTGGCGGTCAAAACGGTTCATGGTCTGATTATACTGCTGTTTTATATCTCCTATATGGCCATCGCTAACTTCTAATCGGTTTCGTTTCGGTGTTGACGTTTTATTTTGCTCCGCGTTCTTTCTTTTTTGTTTTTTTAAAAAAATTTTTCGACAACAGTCGAACATTTTTCAAGATTGTCGTTTTTGGTTCAAAAGTTTTAACAATAATGATAATTCCTTTTGTAGCCAGCCATAAACTGCAAGTCTGATCTTATATTGACTTTGCTGGTATGAACTAAAAACCTCAATTTTTTGTAGTTTCACCGCTAGAATGTTGTCGAGTGGCTCACTC